CGAAATTTGGATAATGGTTCTGTTGTTATTCCACCTTTGAAATTCAAAAATTCTGACGAATATTTTCCTGAATGTATTTGTAACGTAGAAAATAATGCTATTCAATATCCAATTGACATAAATCTTCTTGATGTTTCCAACCCATTTTTATCTGAACCTCTTGATGATTTTCTAATTGAAAAAGAATCTCCATTTTCTACTGAAAAATCCAATATACGTGTTGAAAATTTAATTCGTACGTCTCATATGAATATTGAAGAAAAAGGAAAGATTATTAAGCTCTGCAAGCAATTCAAACAGGTATTTTTCAAGCCTAACGAACCATTAACTCTCTGTAATGCCACTGCACACAAAATTAGGATAAAAAATGAAGACCCAATTTATGTAAAAAATTATCGATATCCTTATCATCTCAAAAAGGAAATCCAAAATCAAGTTTCCAAGTTATTGAATGATGGAATCATTCGACAAAGCAATTCACCCTATCAATCACCCTGCTGGATAGTTCCTAAGAAAATGGATGCATCCGGTGTTAAAAAATATAGGATGGTTATTGATTTCAGAAAACTGAATGAAATAACAATTGAAGATAAATTTCCACTCCCACTAATTGAAGAAATTTTGGAAAATTTAGGCAAAAGCATGTATTTTTCTACTATTGATTTGGCACAAGGGTTCCACCAGATCCCTATGGATCCTGAGTCTATAGAAAAAACGGCTTTTACTGTTGAAAATGGCCACTATGAATATGTCCGTATGCCATTTGGGCTAAAAAATGCCCCTGCTACCTTTCAACGTATGATGAATACTGTATTGTTAGAATATATCAACGTTTTTTGTTTTGTCTATATGGATGATATCATTGTTTTTTCAAAATCCCTAGACGAACACATTTTGCATCTTCGAAAAATATTCCAAAAACTGAATCAGTTTAATTTAAAAATCCAACTGGACAAATCTGAGTTCCTGAGAAAAGATGTTCCATTCTTAGGTCATGTCATCACGCCACAAGGCATACTTCCAAACCCAGATAAAATCAAAGTAATTCAAGAATATCCTCTCCCGACTACGATTAAAGAAATCCAGTCATTTTTAGGCCTTATGAACTATTATCGTAAATTTATTAAAGGATTTGCACAATTGACTAAGCCATTCACAAAATGTTTACGTAAAGATGAAAAAATCAATATCAATAATCCAGATTATATCAATGCATTTAAACTTTGTAAAGAAGCTCTTTGTAACCCACCTATTCTGGCTTATCCTGATTTTTCCAAAAAATTTACATTGACAACTGATTGTAGCAATATAGCCCTATCAGGAGTTCTTAGTCAAAATGATAAGCCTATTGCTTTCCACTCTCGAACATTAAATTCTGCTGAACGCAATTACAGCGTTATTGAAAAAGAACTATTGGCAATAGTTGATTCTTGTAAAAAATTCCGTCCTTATTTATTTGGTCAAAATTTTCTAATCGAATGTGATCACAAGCCCCTAGTTTGGTTGAGTTCTTTATCAGTGCCCAATCAGCGATTGATTAGATGGAAGCTTCAGTTAGAAGAATATAATTTTTCAATTAAATATAAAAAAGGCAAAGACAATGTTGTAGCCGATGCGCTCAGTAGAATTGAAATTAACGCTTTAGAGGATGACGATCTTTTATCCATTTTACCACAAGTAGATTCTGTAGAAGAATTAACAACCCAAGAACTTGATGAAATCTTGAATGAAGATAATTTACCTTTAATTGATTTATTAGATGAAATGCCGTTAGATGAACGACTCAAAATTGTTGAGCAATCTGATGTTACTCGACATTCATCTGCACAAAATCCTATCAATCATATATTGTATCAAGAAAAGAATTTTTATTTTTTCAAAAATCGAATACATTTTCAGTTAAAAAATCAGTATAAAATAACAAAGTCTTGCAATGGTACTTTAATGGTAACAGTCCGAAGTGGATCTGAAACAGAGCAACTTTTGAAATTCATGAAGGAATATCTTCAGCCCGATCATACTTATGGTATTTGGTATGAAAATCAACTTTTAGAATTTAAACTTAACGAACTTTTAGAACAGTATTTTTCGAACAGCGGTATAAGATTTGTTAAAGCTTCTTATAAGCCTATATACCTACTAAAAGACTCATTTACAGAACAATTGTCTTTCTATCATAGCCAAACGCATAATGGTATCAATGAAACTTACAGCCATTTCAAGAAAAAAGCATTCACCCCAAATATGAAAAAAATAATATCAAATTACATTAATCAGTGCAATACTTGTTTGACATCAAAATACGAAAGACGACCAATCGAACTCCCTATGGAAGGACCTCTAATAGCCAAAAGACCATTTGAACATATATTTTTAGATATTTTTCAAGTCGAACAACAAATATTTTTAACATTTGTTGATTTATTTAGTAAATATGCCCAGGCCTACAATTTAAAATCAAAATTATCTAACGAAATATTAAACAAAATCAGACACTTCTTTTCCCATCACAATTATCCTGACAAAATAACTTTTGATCCTGGTGAACTTAACACAAAAGTTATAAAAGAATTCTGTAATATGCACAAAATTGAATGTCATGTTACTAGTGTAGGTAACCCCTCATCATTATCACCTCTTGAAAGATTTCATAGTACCCTGAAAGAAAAACTCAAAATTTTACGTCAGCAAAATAAAATCGATTCGATTATTGATCTAATGACGACAGCTATCTTAATTTATAACCAAAGTGTCCATTCTACGACCACATATACCCCATTTTCATTATTATACGGTCCTTACGACGATTTGAATAAGCATTTGATCGATACCCCCACAAAATTATATGATGAATATAACGAGAAACGGTACAGAGAATTACTACCTTTTTATGAAGAACTATCGAACCGTGTACTAGATAAGGCAACGGAAAGACTAGAAAAAATTAATCAAAATCGAAATAAGGAAATTCCAACCTTAGAAGGTCCAGTATATCTTAAATCTGCATTAGATCGTTCACATAAAACAAAACCCCTGTATTCTAAAGAGACCTCTTACGAACAAGAAAATGTCCATATTAATTTGCGCACTAAAGGAAAAAAGCATAGACTGAATAGAGTGAAACCGCAACGCAAAATTTCTAACTTTCAGGATCCTAATCCAGGCCCTTCAACTAGCCGGTCTAGAGATCCAGCTGATCGAGAATAAAGCACCATATTTTAAGCAAGAGCTAGGTAACGCCTATCTACTAAAAGCGTACCATAAGACATTTTTTCATATAAATCTCACTCTCATTAATGAAAATATCAAGCAAATAACGTCAAATGTCTATTTTGCAAAGCAAAGAATAGATGATACGTTGATAACACAACTTGAACATGAATACAATTTGCTTATAGACAAATATGAAATGTTAAAATTTAAACGAGTTAAGCGTGGATTATTTAATGGTCTTGGTTCCGTCATAAAATATATTTCAGGCAATTTAGATCAATCTGATCTAGACGAAATAATGGAAAATATGAAAATTCTGAAGGAAAATCAAGATAATTTATCATTACAAAATTCCCGAACCGTCTCTGTAGCAAAACAATTACAAGACAGGTTTGAAAATAACACTTTAATTATAAAGAAAAATTTGAGAGATAATTTGGATAACCTCAACAAATTGCATAGCGAATACGCTAATTCTCAGTATGTCTTGAATGAGATAATAATTATTCACAGATTTTCTAATTATTTATCACGCTTACTGTTAACCATTAACCTGAGCACAAATCAGGGCATAAATCTCTTACAGCTGAGTAAGACTGAAATTAATTATATCCATTCGTTATTAAGTGATCTATTTGACAAAAATGAACTTCTCCCACTTGATAAACTGCACAATTTTGAATTTTTCGAATTATGTGAATTAAGTATTATAGTCCTCGAAGAAGAAATCATATTTGTTCTTCACATACCAACAGTTACTGGTAACTTTATATATTCCAATATATACCCCATTATACACCAAAATAATATTCTGGTATTGAAACATAAAAATATTATCGAAAATGAAGCTATACATTTTTGTGATGAATGCAAATTATTGAGTAATAAATATTTTTACTGTACTATACTAATCCATTCCAGTTGTAACTTACTTAAAGTTGAAAATTGTACATTCTTGGCAAAAGGTTCATTTTCAGAAGTAATTCAATTAAAACATGATAACTATTTAGTGAATACTAACAAGAATATTCCAGTATATGAAGATTGTACCAAAGAAAGAAAAGAAATTGATTCCTCTTTTATTATCAGCTTAAACTGTAAAACATTTATTGATCATACTGAGTATTTGAAGATTTCTGATATTTCGAAACCTTTATACATACCTAACATTATGGTGAACTATGATAAGAATATGTTATTTGAAAATACTGATGTAAAGGGTTATTCGGACATACAATTGAATAATGTTTTATTACACGATAAATTAAAAAATTTAGATTTTTCACACAAAACGTCCACGTTTAGCATTGTAACTATTTTATGTATTTTAACATTTGTTGTAATTATACTTTGTTTAAAAAAACAATTGCTCTCTCTTTTGAAGCAAAAAGAACCAAAAAATCAATCAGTCAAAAATGACATTGAACTTAACCAGATTTTTCCTTTGAACCAGGAGGTTCAATCTTCTTGAAGAGGGAGGAATTACGGCACTGCTATGATGATGATCTAATATGTAGAGTTGCTTAGGTTTGCACTTTTCAATTCCTTTGTTCTAGCGTAGGTTATAAGTAAGAGATGCATGTAAACCAAGGTGACCAGTACTCATTCGTCTTCTGTTAAATAAAGTCGCTTTTTTAAAAAGTCGTTCGTTGTTTGCACATTCTTAATTAGCATAAACTGTGTTCTGGAGCCCCCTTGAGTCCGCCCCTGCATGCCACAGTGACACTAAAAACTGACCTTTTCGGTTGTACTTAATTTTAGATAACTAATCAGCATGATGAACTTACATTGAGTAACTGAAACTTCTGTTCGGCTTCTTTGTTACCCTCATTCTTGTCTGGATGGTACTGCAGAGCTCGTACTTTGTATTCAGCTTGAATTTGCTCTACCTGGAAAAATTTAAAGTTACACAATATTCTCCGAAGGCTTGAAATCACACTTAAGCAAATAAAGGATAATGGATAACCAATCGTGATTTCTAGCAAACGCCAAGCAAAAATGAAGCAATTTAACGCACTAATTGACAGGGGAAGTACATCGATAAGATTCGAATTCAACATATTATTTTCTCAGAATTCCATGATGATATCTCTAGATTTCCGTCAGTATGTGCGCCATGCTCGTCTGTCCGGTGATCTTTACTAAGATTTTTTAAAACAGTATCAAATAGGTTAATTCTAATTTTCTAATGCAACGATCTGAGCTTAAAAAAGGTGTCAAGTAGGTTGACTCTGCATTTCTCAGGCAACGCTATCATCATTCCACGAAGTATTATGTTTGTTAAAAGTATTTCTCTATCATTTTAAGTTTTAAGGGCAAATATATGAGGAAATCTCTGATGTGTGAAATATGTAATATAGGTGCATAGGTGCGTAGAATTACTCATGATGTAAGTGAATAGGTATACTGAAAAATTGCGATATGACTGGCAACCCTCAACCCAAACGAACATTTTTCTAAAGATGCTCAGGAGCCTCTGGAATGTCAAAAGGCGAAGTCTGCGAGGTTATCTTTCTTGTCCGTGCAAAACTTTTCCATCCTTGTTATCCATCCAAGTTACAGACAGCTCAAGGATTACGGAATAGACAGAAATAAGTGAAAAAATATATCGCATTTTCGAGATGTTTCGCCAGTTGGCTTGGAAAGTAAAATTAGACAATAATTTAGAACCATTGCTCTTCAATAAATGAGTTTCGAAAATATAGGAGAAGGAGATGACGTTGGCAGGTTATCCAAGGAACTGCAAAATCCTTTAATCGCCGTGCAATTTGACCACAATTTTAAATTTTAAACAGCACTGCGTGGCAAGTGAAAATGATCACAAATTACCATCAATGTTCCATTTTCTGAGTGTTTGCCCCTATTAAAATGTTTTCGATTGAGTTGAAAATTCAATTAAGGGCTTGATAAGCATTCCACGGTATTTGATATACTGTTAATAATTCCTACGTGTATAATTGATTTTAACGTAAACTGAGTTGAAGTTACATTAGCTCCTCATAATTTATAAGGTGTAGTATAAAGCCTAAAGCCATGGATAAAAGTTTCAGTGACAATTGGGGATTAAAATTGGTTTCTGCTCTGCAAACGTGAGGTAACTTCTCACATGCCGTGCCACTAAATTCCCGTCAGGTACAAACAACTACATTATATGGCTCAAGACAAATTAAAGGAGTTCCCGGTGGATCCGACACGTTCTACGTTTGTATCCATTATTACACTGTCTCTGTACAATCATTAAATCACATGAAGTTGAATAGCTTACTTGTTTGAAGTTATTGGAAACTGCCTTCGATTAATTCGTAGTATTGAAAGTTTTAATTGCGCCTACACCTGTGAGCTATTGTTAATTTTAAAAGAGGAGTCAGATAAGCTCTGATACCGTTTTATTTTAGGAAAATTATTGATTTCCTGTATGAGCTTCATTTTTTTTAGTGTTCTCTCAAGTTAAAAGGTCATCAGTTATGTGATACGATGTCGAACCTGATTCTTAGCATATACCGTATAATAACTGACAAGAGAACATAAGAAGAGAATAAGCTTAATTGAGTCCACCTAAAAAATTATTTTGTCCCAAACCGTAAACCTGAAATAATCAGAATGTTGGAAACTTAAGTTCTATCCTTGACAATATAAAAGTTTAAATAAGTTTAGGATGTTTTCCCTTTTTAGCAGATGCACCGCAATTGTTCATACTAGCCAGTTCTGAGTGTACAGAATTCGACAGAATTAGAATGACTGGCAGAAGCTGGGCGGATCCGTCTTGTAGTTCCAATGCACTGCAGCATAATGAAAGCACAAACAAACGCATCAGTAGATCAATCAGTCGAACAGCTTCTCCTCTGGCACTACAACACCATGTGGCTTTTGGCAGACTTCACAGTTTGCTGCTATTTGGTGCGATCTTCCATCAATGCTGTGTCCACGTTTAAGTTCACATTTGCTAGGTGTGTCTTGATGTTGTTCCTACATCTCATACAGCGGCGACCTAGAGGAGATATTTTACCTGCTGGAACTTCCTCCTAAGTCAACTTTACTAACTATCTATTGTCGAGTCTTTGAACGTGAGCAGCCCATCTCGATCGCTGTGCTTTGACTTCTTCGACAGTATCACTATCTATAAGCTAATGCTCGATTTCAATGTTTGTTCTTATCCGATACTCGTTTGTGTTTGTATCATAGAAACGTGAAAAGGCCGCACGTAGTATTCTGCGTTCGAAGCGCTTTAGCCATTTTTCATTGACTTTCGTCATCATCAACGTTTGTCAACCATTCATTGCCATGGATCTTATGATGGTATTGTAAATTCTGAACTTAAAAGAACGTATTTCGATTTTATAAGAATATTCAGAAAGAACATTCACTGGTTTCCAGATTGGATTATACCTTTGATCTCCTCGGTGGTGACATTGTCGGCAGTGATCGTGCGCCAATGTGCGCGAAACGCTCAAAGTTATAGGAGTCTATTGTTACATCTTGGCCTATTATTTCACTTCTTCCTTGTTTGATGACTCACATGTCTTCATTAACTCTTAACCTAATTTTTTCCTCTGACTCTACTCGCCCAAGTATATCCTGCTGTTGATGGAATTCCCAGGAATTTTGGCTCTTCGGCTGTTAAAAGTTTTGTGGTTTGAAAAGGTGTGGTGATAGGACATCTTCCTGCTTAACTCGTAGTTACACCGAATAGCTCACATAGCTGATTATCAACTCGTACTCCGGCTGTATGTAGGTACTGTTATTCAAGCATATTTCAATTAGGTTGATGAACTTCCTTGAAACCGAGAATTTAGCTAACGCTTTCCATAATTCTGTGCACGTTATCATAGGCATTTCAGAAATCGATAAACATATTATTAATGGTCCTGTTAAACTCCCACCCCTTTTAGAGCACCTGCCTCAGCGTAAACCAACAAGTCTTCTCCTGTAGCGCATCAAGTATGGGCAGTGTTGTCGGAAGGGGAGCACCTCAGCCAGTGCGCCAAGAAGGACCGTATTTGTACCCTAAACAGGGTGAAGAGGTTAAATTGTGTAAAGCATAAACAGGTCGGCAAATCCAGCTTGAGCCGCGAGATGCGCAGAAAACAGGTGAGTCGGTGGATGTCTGAGAGAAACGGCTTTTTTCTGTTTGTTTATTATGATACGGTGCGTTTTCTATAACGCGCGTTTGATGGTACCACACCTGTAGCTGCAGAGACCCGTTCTTGTATCTATAATTTACAATAGCTTTGAATAAAAAAATACCCATTTTGTACACAGGCTTTGATATGCTATTCAACCAAGATGTTAGGTCTCACCGCTGCTCAAATGGGCAAGTAATTCGTGAACAATTCTCTGTCATTTATATATATATATATACGAGCCCCTTCACACTTCAGTTGGCCCAACTATTGAAATCTTAGTTCTTTTCTTATCAAACACAAATAATAAAAATGTAGCAGGGTGTTATAGGTTTAAAATATTAACAATGAATATTTTGATAATATATAGTAGAAAACACCAACTTTATCACTCCCTAATCAAATTTGCAGCATAAAAATAACACATTTGCAATTACAGCATATCAACCTATTTTCATTTCAATGCAAAATAAGTCTATAACGCATAGGTGGCTGTGAAGAATAAAAGCCATGACAATCGTTTTTATTAATCACAGCTGTCAGAATACGTTTAAAATAGTTTTGGGTAGTTAAGGTTTTCAAAATGGGTAGAGGAAAGGTTATTAGTGAGAAAATTCGGTTACTAATAATTAAATTTTTTAATTCTGGGAAATCAAACTCAGAAATTGCAACTTTGTTAGACTTATCGCGGTACAGTGTGAGAAATATTGTTAGAAGATATAATGTAACTGGTTCAGTTAATATTAAGCCACGATATGTGAAAAAAGTAATATCACAAATGCCGATCGAAGAGCATTAGGAAGAATAATCGTGAAAAACAGGCGTGCCAATTATTTACAATTAAGTGCTCTGTGGAGTGACGCTGTTGGAAGGAGAATTTCTAGGTCCACAACTCATAGAGAGGTCCTCAAACTGGGATTTAGCACTTGCAAGGTAAGTTTTCTTATAAAACAAGTGAAGTAAAAACCCTAAAGTTGCACAACTTGTATATTGGCCAAAGAAAAGCCACTATTAACTCCACTGCAAAAGAAAAATCGGCTTAGATGGGCTAAAGAACATAGAAAATGGACACCTCAACAATGGTGTGCAATACAATGGAGTGATGAGGCCCGATGCGAAGTTTGTGTTGGTGACAGTCGCAGTAGAGTTATTCGCAAAAAAAATGAAGCATTCCATGTTCTGAAGAGAAAAGTGAAATTTCCAGCATCCATTATGGTCTGGAGCAGTATGTCGTCAAAGGGAGTAGGAAAACTTCATTTTATTGATGGAAATGTGGATACAAACAAATATTTGGCAATTTTCGAAGAATCGCTTTTACCAGTGATGGAAGAATGTTTGACATCCGGCCAAGATTTTGTGTTTCAGCAAGATGGTGCAGCGTGCCATACCTCAAAAAAGGCTACAAAATGAATGGAAGAAAATAATGTACCACTTTTGAAATGGGTTTCTAGCAGTCCAGATCTGTCACCTATTGAAACTTTGTGGCACGAGATGAAAAAGGTTCTCCGACAACATCCTGCTCGTACAATCACCGAACTGAGACAAAAGCCTCAAGAAATATGTGATTGTTTTACACCACTCCATTTTCAGCCTTATTCTGCATGAATCTCAATACCGAGGAAACAATTTCTCGGCTTTGACCATTTAAAACTTTATTTTCAACATTACTCTCCATTTTTCAGAACCTACGAATATAAATTAAAACAACCTCTAGCTAGCGCAATTAGAATTTTTACTGGATCTGTACCCACGATGCTACCTCGATCGCTGCTGGTTTATACTGGGGTGTCCTCACTACATTCCGCCGTGTCTACCGCGCATCTGACCTTGGGAGACCAAGCTAGATCTGTCAAACTGTACTTTCCAGCCCTATATAGCTGCCCTAGCCTTTTTTAACAGCTTTCACGACTCACGAGACGTGCTCTTGTTATACGATTTCCACGGTTCTCAAGCTCCGACAAGCCGAAACATTGCTGGTAAAGCTCGATCATCTATAAAAGCTGGATTTGACTTTGGGAGCTTCTTGTCAGTTAATGAACAGTACTGCATCTTAGAGGCATTAAACTGCCTTAAGTTGCTTCTCTCTCTAGGTCAACGGCAAAGATAGTCTGACACTCCAAGTGCTGGCACGCAAAGTGTCAATGAAGCTTCGGGTCGAGTTTTAATCACACTACTTGTTTGGCCCAACTTAGGTCATACTTGATCTTATGTGCACAGACACAAACTCCATTATTTCTTGGTCTAGGGTCTACATTTCAAAGGATTTTTTGCAATATTCCCTTTTCTCAGATATCAGAAAAGCTAGGTTTGAAAAACACTCAAATTTGGAAAAATCCTGACAGTATATTTGATATGAAAAATGAAAAAAATGGTGATAATCGTAATTATTATTTATTTATTTTAATAAAAATGATAGCTTATAATTTTCCCTGGGTTGTCTGTAATTTAGAAGAAACAGCAAGTTATCGCAACTTGACCCTTAAGGTTTGTAATCATTTAAGTCGTAACATTTCTGTAATATAGTGAAATATAGTCAAATTTCAACGGTGCATGTTGCTCACGAGCAAAAGTTTCATGGTTGCTCAAATATTTGGAGAAAAATGAATAGAGACTGCAACAGAGCAATTTTGAAGGTGGGATACACACATGTGTATCGGTACTTTTGGATTTGTTGTGTAATTTATGGATTCAACAACAGACGAAATGATCTTTTTCTTGGAGAAAATTTGCGAAAATAAATTAGAAAGCTTCCTCAACATTACCATGGAATAGTTTTCTAAAATTTTCCACAAAATCTTGAAGCCTTTACAAAAGCTTCTAGTTTGTACAATACAAAACGTAAACATTTATATCTATTCCTTCAGAAGTGGAATATACTCGTACACATGTTTAGAGGTACTGATGTTTTTGACCAGATTGAAGGCTCTAATATTTATAATTTTTTTGCAAAAGTTAGTTTCGAAACTTTTTGAAACTTACCGTAGAGTTTTCATCACATCCCAGAATGGCATAGTAATCCTCCTCCTCCTTCTTCTTGTAGTCCAGAATCTGATCAACGGTAGCCATGGTTCAGAGACGAGCAAATCCGCGCGGCGTTTGTTTCGTCCGATCCTCGTTTGATCGAGTCCTGTGTAGTTTGTAGTCTTTGCAGGCGCTGGATCGAATCGGCACTGGTGACCCGAATCGAGCGGCGACGAAGCTCCTTCCCTGGATTGGGAGGAAAATTCACCCCCTGGCGGGAAAACCAGGAATTACAGGGGGTTTGACCCGATGCTAACGCCGGCGGTCGAGACAGACGGGGATGGCGGGACTAAAAGAGAAACGGTGATTACTCGTTTAAGGGTTAGACGCAAAAAATTGCTAGCTATTGATAATTCTACCCATAGACTATTGGAAGTAGAAATATAAATCGTGAGAAATTACAAAAAATCCGACTTCGTAAAAAGATATATTGTCGACTTAAAGGGTAAACCCTCTTCATATGAAATTTACAGCGCAGCTAAGAAACGTGAGTAGATATAATGTTCACTTAAGAATAAAATTATAGTTGAAGTATTTTGTAACATTTAATAATAAAAGCAGCAAAGCCAATAATTTAATTTAATAGTTTCTATTTTATAGGCATGATTTGTTATAAATGTCTGGATTGATCCGTTCTAATTATCAAACATTTTCGTACTATTCACTGACTTAGTTTGACCCGGCTTTTCTGCTAGAGCAATGTAGCGCCTTTCTCCTCTCGACTGGTATTAATAAGTCATATGAGATGGAAAATGGATTTAGAAGGTTTAAACTTGAAGTTCATGATATTATTATCAATTTATGCGATCCATTTATGCGATCAAAAAAATAAGTAGTATATGCCATATATAATTATATTACAATAAGAAAATAATTGATTCCGAAAAGCTATGGCAAGTCACCGGCCATATTAACACTCTTGATAAAACGTACCGAGGGTAATTATGATTCCGGACAGCCTTTTCGCAAACATTTTACTTAAGCCCGAAAGGATCACTACATTTTTTTCATCTGTCTATTTTTATCTGTGCCTTACAACCACGGTATTCCAGCAGAAGCCTTTAGGACTCATCTACAATAAGAACAATGTAGAGTCGAGTATAAAAACGGAAGAGGCTGTAGGAACTCATGGTATGCATCAGTTAACGTGAATAGTTGAGTACGCTAAGATCGATAGCAATGCAGTATGATCAGCTACGCTGCTCTCTTCCATTTTGGTACTCGACTATCATAAATTTCTATGAAAGATAGAAACCCCTGAATATCACCACTGGGAAATTATTTGAAATAGGTTTCCTTCGATGTATTCGATAGGGACGGATTAGCCCGGAGATTAGCTCCAATGCATTGATGCTAACTTGCACATACTGTATGAGTGATAACATAGCGAGTTATCAGTCTGATGATCATTGTTCTGAGGAGCCTCTTGTTGTGACACTTTTTTTAAATGTGATGCTGAAGGACGCTGCTAAAGGTTGGTGTATTTCCATATTTTTTTAACAAAGCCTACATAATGTATGTATTTATTTAAGATGCTTCCACTGTTTGAATATTACCGTCTATTTATGGGACAATTATGTATACGATTGCATTTAGATAAATCATAACTGACCTCATACAATTATGACCTTGCACAACACCAAGATAAGCCATTAATTGGAGCAAAAAATGAAATACGTATGTGTATGTATACTTGACTATCCTTTAGTATTCTGGAATTAAGGGCGGTGAGTACCAATCCAAAGCTAAATCCATGAGTCTTTTAATAGACATTTACTACATTTGTATACGGAATCAATTTCAAACATTTTCAGCCACATACCAATTCAGTTTTGAATTATGTTACCTAATTACTTGATGCGTAAATTCATAATATACGATGATTAATTCTCATTCATATTGCTATTTTAGAATATGTATGATTGTGCGTTTAATATCCGAAATGGTTGATCAAACACATGTTCGAATTCAACTTCAGTATTATGTGAATATTCAATATACATTCTAAATGTACTTGATAACTAGGTACAACTATCAAAACGCTTTAAGTAGGTTTAATATTTATTTATTACCGTATAGTTATTTCAGCTATATATCAGCTAAAACCGCAATTTTTAGCAGTCAATGTTTTGGGTTGCGCTTGAGGAATAACATATGCATACCAGAGATTAGTTAAGAACTCAAACCATCTGAAGTAAGATATAGATGTATACTCTATATATTATTTGATATATCATGTCAGTATTACATTGCACCAGTATTCTACAATTTACTTGCACATAGACACAATAATTTCCTATAAATGTACAAGTTACGAAAGCATTTCGATATACAACTTTGATATCATAATGATTAACTAATATTTGATGTATCTGTATGCATGTTGTTTCGTGAATTATATGTTGCACTGTGCTAAATTTTTTTGAGATAGTCCTGGTATAACACCCAATTTTATTGCAGAATTAACGAGTGTTCGAGCTCTTATAATCATCATTATTTTCCATCGAAGGGTCTGAACGGCGGGTAAGCTTTCTGTATCAAATAACAAATTACAGATGCCCATTATTTTGTATAGCATTTTATAAAATTGTGGCAGCGGTATACCATAGCAAGTATAAGGTAATGTAAGCATACTGCTTTGTTTTTAATACATTTTAAATAGAAAAAAAACTATAGTGATTGCAGTAGCTGGTATCACAATGACTCCTGTAAATAAATAACGTAAAGCATGTTCGCAAAAAGTCGCCGAGGAACTCAAAATTGGCAATTTCAATTTCATTTTTCTTCGCTGTTTTACAAACATCCTGCATAGATGCTCCAAAATAAGCACTAGCATTCAACGAAGCATAGAATGAATAATTTTGACATACCCGTTTTCAGACTTACAATAGCGTCGTAGTTCGAAACTAAGTACTCACATTGGACACACTTAACCCAACACGACGCTGAGACACGTTTCCAAGTAGAACATGGAGCGCATTTTGTGACACTCGTTTCCAGATATGCTTACAGGAAATTCTATAATCCGCGAATCAACATCTAAATCGAACCGATGTGCGGGTTCGACTGGATTTCCCAAGGTTAGTATTATTTTTTTATCTCTTCTGGGTACTGCTGGTGCTACGTAATGGATTAAGTGAAAGTTAAAACTAGAACCAGTGCCGCCATCGCGGAATCGCGGTCGGTCAGTATGTCAATCTGCAGGCCGTCGGTGTGTTCAGTCAGAATATTGCGAATGAGACGCGTGCATCTAACTACAGAGTTTACACAGAAAACAATAGAATTACAACAAGGTGTTTCATTATAAATTGACAATTTGCACAAAATTTATACACTTTATTTTCAAGTCTTTCGTGCCCTTTCTCTTTTGTATACTTTTGTGCACACTGTTACTTTTGTATAAGAAAAGTGTTACCAAATAAAGTTGTTACCTTTTTAAATGGAATGCTCTGTATTCTGTAAGTGAAAATGATTGTTGCATTTTTTCTGTCTTCAAACATACATATATGGCGTATCTTTGATGTTTAGCTGAATCAAATCCCATTTATGTTTAAGTTCTTGTTTATTGTAGAACGTTTGGACTACCAGGATGGACTTTTTCGAGTAGGTACAATTATTGTACTTGGCCGAAACGGAATAGAATAAACAGGAATTCAAACATATATGGTATGTGGTTTGATTCGGCCAGACAATGGTTATCATATTCATTTTCATTAATTTGTGTGTCAATTATTCACGTGCATCTGAGTTCAAACTAGTTTGCATCTAGCTGTCTATGTAATCCAATCCTCCCTCACCTTGTTGCCATGGTGACGTCGCCAGCTTCTTTAACCAAACCAACCTACTGATTTTGGCGTTCGTCGGCACTAGATGCTCCATAATTCCAATCGATATGTTTATAGGTGGCTATCATGATACTATTATCGAGAAGATAAAACCCACGAGCATGCGATCATTCTATCTCTTTCGAACACGCGGCGTCACTCGGTGACAGAATTCTACAGAGACGTGTGGTTAAACGTTCAGTTTTTTATGACGCTTTAGCACGTAATTTGTGAATAGTTTCGTTAGTTTGTCATCTGGTGTGTTTCAAATAAGTCTCTGTGTGAAATATAATTGAAAAACAGTGATTTGAACATTCAACTATGGTGTACTGCGCAGTAGTTCAAGCAGCAACAACAAGAAAACCCAAAGACGTTTCGAACTTGCGTTTCTTGAGTTTCCCAAAGAACAAAAAAATTTCCAGCAATACAAATTAATAATTTCTAATTAAATGTAATGAACTCGGCCATATTTTCGACAATTTCAACGCAGGATCATTAAAATTGTAAAAATATTGTTCAAAAACGTTCATGGATTTAGTTATGCCAGTTAGTGTAACTGAAGCTACCAAGCATCTTGTTTTAGATGAAGAATGTATTTTAAAATCTTAACATTAAAAATATTTTTATTTACAGCTACCCATGAAAAGTTTAAAAAACCATTTTCATAATGTTTATACAAAATTATAAAGATGTTATGTGTACTGTATGTTGGTCTTTATTCTTTTTTATATGAAAAGTTAATATAACAAATTAATATGTAACTCATGCACAAAGGTAACCAATTTGTTTCAATAAAAAGTAAACCCCTTTATCCGGAGTTCTAAAGAAACTCCAGTTTGGAAAGCTATACGCGCATTTTCTTTTTAAGTTATTTGGAACTCTCCACATATATATTGTTACTTTTTCTGAAGTGTTAACTATATAATTGTAATGTCTATAGTCTATAATGATATGCTTTATTGAATTGTATTGACAAAACATCAAAATATAAATAAATCGTTCTATATAATACAGAAATTATCATGTATGTATGATAACACAAGAAAATGTTACGTAAATATTCCAAATATTCAAAAGAAGGCGCTCTAATACAATTCAGTTCATACCGAGCGGAGAGTTTGTCACCGAGTGACACCATGCACATAGGCCTACGAAATTCGTGGTAATGGCGTCCCGGTGAAAGAAGGCCCTAATGGTATAACGATCGATAGATGTAATCGAAGGACACACAAATTTTAAGTATTCGACTGCGGTAAGAAAATGAGTATAAAAACATAAAATAAAAAATCGGCTGACATTTCCATTAAAAACATACAGGGTGTTTCATTAACGTACAACTTTAATTTATACCGCGTACAAAAATACGTTGCGTGGAAAGCTTTATAACTATTCCTATATCTTTTGTCATAAACGGTCATGCAAAACATTTACAGAGGGGTCAATCACAGCAGCCCGTTATCATAGCTGGGTGTCTAAGACGTCCATCCAGATTATGATACTTTATGGATTTGCCGTCAGTGTCGATGCTGTCAGATCATTATTGCTGAACGGGACACATTTAGCAACAGAGGCGTCGTTTACAGTGCCAAGGAAACAACGTAACATGGTGAACATTGGCATTATTTATTTAAGAAAAATATAGCAGAAGGGGAAGTTTCTATCTGAAACAGCAATCCAATTTTAAATAAGGTACTCAATAGGACTCCACGATCTTAACAAATAAAACTACATATGTACCATAAGCAACTCGACTAATGTCATGGTCTCAAAAACTGTATAGACAATGGAAGTCTGAAATAAATCTTTTAAAACCTTTTTGTGAATAAGCTATAATGCATTTTCGATGTTATATGACATGTGCATCACGAAAAACCATGGCTCTCATTCCAGTCGGTCTGTCTGTATGTCCGACTGTCCGGTAATTCTTAGCCCCTCTATAACTTGGAAAGCATTGCTCAGATTTGGTTGACATTTTTATATAAGGACGAAAAATCTAGTTTTTGAAAAGTGGCGGCAGAGAAAAATTCCAAAAACTTAAAAACACGAAAATCGCTCAAACGTTGTTTTTTGACAATTCAGACGATCCAGATAATGTTTGAAAAAAATTGAGGGGTAAAAAATTAGTTATAGGAAGTTGCATGGGGGTGGGGAGGGTATGTCTCAATTTCTTCTTCTTTCAACATATATTTATACGCTCCCAACACCGGTAATTCTACGCACCTATTAGACACATTTCACACGTCATAGGTTTCCTCTTTAATAATATGATAGAGAAACCTTCGAGAGGTGTATCCTTCTGCTATCTGGGCTCAGCGCCCAGCGTTACGGTCTGCATGTTTGTTATTGTTCGACTGAGTTGATCCCTTTAATTTCTCTATAGTACTATGTTTGTTCTCAGAGGGTCTGAGTTGTTCTGAACTTAATCCTTCATCAACTGATGACGGCGTTGCATAAGAAGTGCAGAGTCAATCTAATTGACGCTATTTTTTTAGCAAAATGTTCAATTATTCGCAAAAATTATACCATCAGAAATGAATGCAAGTGCTACAGCATCAGAAAATCTTCCCTCCCATCGCTCAGGTATTTTTGAACCTCCAACGGGGACCAATTAGGTACAGCCATGGGTTATCATGCTATTTTTTAGTTCATTATTTTTTTTTTAGTTGTTAATATTGGAACGACAAATATTATGTATGATAGTCATTCTAATGTGTTCCTTCTCTCTCAATACAGTTAGTCACCAAATTATTCAAAGCCATGTAATCACATTTAGTATAATCGAAAAAATTCTTTTATTGTCTAATTAGCGACCTTATTGTGGACATTTAATGTTTCCTCTCCACTAATCTTTGTCTCCGTGGGCTTTATTTCGGAGAAGGAGAGCGGATATGCTTACGTTCCGATCTTTGAGTACAACGTATCGTTTCAGTATCTGTAATATCGTATGGAATGTGTTTATGATTTGTTTCTTGGATTACCAAATCAATGTAATGCCTTGCTCTACTTAGTGAGTACTTATTACAATGATGAAATGCAACTCAAATATACAGTGTGTATTTGGATATAGAAATTATAATATATATGAAATATAATTAACAATGTGTAACTATCTGTGTGACGCGATAAATAAATGTATGTGCCAAATTCATTCTTCACATTCATTTGTACCTTTTAATTATACCACTGCTATGGCTTGTTTCAATCTACGTTTTCTGTGTACCTGGAACTACAAAAAAGTAAGGGAATAAGATCACCCGCGCAAAAGCTTTCCCGCTCGGACTTCTTAAGTGGTACTGCTCGATTTCCTAGCAACCAGATGTTACTTTCAGTGGTGGACAGTCTCATCGAATTGGTTGCTTCTGCCAAACGTGTCCCGCACTTATAATTGCTGCTAAACGTAATTACTTTGTGAGTGCGTTGTTTGTGCCCTGAAGAAAGGTAAATACAGAGAATCATCTGCAAATGGTACGATGACATTTCATTGACCATATAATCCATAACTAGCATCCTTAGCAAAATGAGGTCTAAGGTTAAATATTTACGTATATTTTTCAAGCAATAATGTGATCTAATTCATCCGTGGTTCATGTGAGAACAACTCAGGGAGTTCACGCATTAATGTAAATGAGGAACTTCATCTACTGAACCAAAAACATAAAATATTGTTGTTTAACTCATACCTGTGAGATTGTTTCTCTATACCAAAGCAGCCTGGTACCGGGGCACCGCAGTTGCTATGAGAAACTTAAAGACACTTTGTTAATCTGACTTTGAACTGCCTAAGGTTTGAAGAACTGGGAAAAGGCCCCTCAGGTAGATTGTTCCACAATCTCGATGCTCTAGGGACAAAGGAGCGGTCGTACCGGCCAGTTCTGGATGTACAATGTCCGGCACGGTTAGGATGGGAAACCGAAGTCAACCGGGTCTGTTTGGCAGGCTAATTGCGCGGAGCCATTATGAAGGAGAGCTTTGAGAACCAGAACCCAAAAACATAGCGGTAGAAGCGTGCCAGATCGCCGACAGCAACCATTTTGTATTTTACTTGGGTTTGGAGAATTTAATGCTGATATGCTTTTATGACGAGCCGTCACTGATTTTAAGATGCTAGCAAACACTTCTCAAGTGCAGGGATCTATAAAAAACAGCTTCTGAAATTAATTTATCATTTAAAAATGAAACTACTACGTAAACACGTCGAATACATAGAGTAAAAGTAAGTGTGGATAATGCAAGGGTAAAAATCATACTAGCCTTGAAGAACAAACAGATCTCATACTAATTACTTTTGTTGCAGCGGGTTACTATACGTACAAAAATCCTTTGTATTGATAGCTTTGCAT